ACATATTCGTTGATTTTTTTGAGAGAGAGGGGGGAAGGGAGAGACGGACAGAGGGAAATATTGATATGAGAATGAAATATCGACAGGTTGCCTCCTGTACATGCCCGACCAGAGATCGAAACTGCAACCTAAGCATGTGGCCTGACCAGAACTGAACCCGTGCCCTTTCGGTGTACTGGGGGACGCTCCAACCAACCGAGCCACATCAGCCAGGGCTGGGCTATTTTTTTTTTTTTTTAATTAGAGCAATATGTACTAAACGTAAGACTAATAAATATTTTTAAAGAGTGAAATAAAAACAGTATTGTTTATATCATAAACTCTTTGATCATGATATCCACTATACGACGTGCTGATTTACTTGCTGCAGTTACTTAAGTCATACCCATATTTCATATTTAAAGCGATATAAATGTTTTGAAAAGTATAATTTAAAAGTACAAGAATATTTTTGAAAGGCATATGGTTAAAAACAAAAAGCATACACAGACAATTATTTTACTGTTATCTAGTATGGATGGACATGTAACTCTACTGTGTAGCTATTTGACTACTTACCTTTCCAAAATAAAGTAATTTTCACTTATTTTGAAAAGTTGAACTATCTTAGAATGCGTGCCTTCCAAACTATATTGTCGGCCTTGTTGGATTTTGGTGCAAACTACTCAGAGTGAAAAATATGTACAGCATATAGTTTTCAAGTTATTAGTTGGCTCAATTAGATTATTAAATCCAATAAAAATGTCATTAGGTACTTAGTTAATGCCATGTTTTAGAGTTCAATTGATTATTATAGAGGACCACTTAAATTTTTAGAATATAAATAAAAGTAAAAAAAATGAGAAATGTGAAATTATCTTATTAAGTTTCAGATTTTTCTATGCTTTAAATGTGTGTATATATTCATTTACTAAAAAGCATGCCAGACTGGGTACCTTTCTTCTAGAGGTGCAATTATTTTATCATTTTTAGTTCATAGTTTTATTGAACTAATATTGAATATGTTATTAAATATGTATTATGTGCAAGACATTGTTAGTTCCTATAGGTGATATAAAAGGCATATACTCTGCACAGGACACACTATGATATTAAGTATGATATTACTTAACACAAATTCTGTATACCTTTTGGGAGTTTTGATTACGTATTATTTACTTTAACCAAACAAAGAGTTGAACAGCAATAAAATATATTTACTTTTAATTATAACCAAGAAATTAAAATATTTGTGAAGAAAGAAATTAACTAAAATGCACTGCAAAGTGAAATAAGGGAAAAGTCTATCAATGTAGGTAATGTTTGATTTTCATTAGCATCTATGTCTAGAACTAATTTAGTAACCTAGAGTAAAGAACTCTGATATACTCAGGTATATATCAGAGAACTCATATTGAAACAAAATCCTGTTAAGTAAAGCTGTATTTATTTGTAGTAACACAATGCCTCATAAATAAAAGATAGAAAGATAAAATTTTGTTAATATAGGTGTTAAGAAAGTGACAAGTATAAATCCCGGCATGACATTGTAAAGGCGATGTATGTACAACATTTCTTCATTACATCCGTCTTCTCTGTGAAGAAGCTTTAAATAGGATTTTACAGGGGAAAAAAATAACGTTTACCTTTAATACTTACTGATATTACAAACCTTATCCAGCTCAGGAGGAGCACAGCTGTCCAAGTGATTATTTTCACAGGAGACATTGAATTCATTACCTAAGTTATTACTTTGTGGGGATATCACTCACTATATATATCATAGTAGCATAGGTAACATTAGGGCTTAAGGAAAGGTATTACTAAGTTTGAGTGATAGCTAAAAGCCAATCAGGTCAACTGACTTTTCTTTTTTACGATCAATGGAATCTTACATAGTTTAAAATAGCCACAGAAGTCACCAGGGACCCACATTTTAAACACTTGAAGAATTTCAGGTTGTAGATGTATAGCCATTATAATAAAGCTCTTGGTACAGTGAAAATGAACACATTCCATGCCATTAGTAATTATTCACCATTAATAACCAACTTCTAACATTTACATTAAGTATACACTGTGCGTAAATTTTTCATGTCACTAAAACACCCTGGAGATGCCAGCCTTGTGGAGAAGTGAAGAAAGAACAACCTTACAAACTTACATGATGAGATTTGGGGCATATTTTTCCTTTCAGCCCATCAGGGAATTCCATGGCTGGAGCCACATTTTCAATGTTAAAATGTGTCTCTCTCTGGATGGGATAGGCTTGTTAGGTATTTGCCCCATTGGGATGAATTTGTGTATCAAATATTCTCCAATTAGCAAGTGGGTAAGAGCAAGGTGTCAACAGGCCTGTGTGTAAAGAGGGGTGCACAGGCCTGGGAGAAGAGCAAGGAGCAATCGTTATGGAGACAATATGGTAAGGATAGATAGTGCTGAAAGGAAGATGCTAAAGAGGAAATTGGTTTTCATATTCTACTAAAGCTGACTGGTTTTTACTACTAGGCACGGATTACTATGCCACTGATATAAGTGGGATGGCCTTGTATGAACACTGTTGAAAGCCGGAGAGTGTGAACTTACCTTCATGTCCGTGTTAACTTGTTTCACAAACGCAGTGAAAACATCTGCAGGCAAACTCAAATCTTCACAGACTTACAATGAGTGGCTTCCTGTGCATGCTCAGAACAGCTACTGGGGCTCTTTAAAATTGTACATTTTACACTTTCTGAATTTCATTTTTTCCTCCATGGAAAGCTGCCTATAACATCATGAACTTTTTCAATACATATTAAACGAAGAAGCGTAACCTTTGTCATCATCTTAAATGGTGAGTCAATAAACAACATAGCAGGGCAATTTGATGTTGGCCATCCTAACATTATAATGGCTATATTATAATGCAGCCATTTTAATGCAACTGTCTTGATGTAAAATCACTTTTTTCTTTTATTTTTTGATCATTAATAATGTGTAGAACAGACATTCCCAAGTCTATTCCATCCCTAACCTCTCTCCAATTTTGATAGACTTCCACTTTCTCCTTTATTTTTGATTGTTTAATCTTTTATATAATGAGTATATAGTAATTTTATACTAAAAAAAAACCTATTAAAATTTTACTGTCAAAATAAATTAACCTCTATGATCTTATCAGTTCTTTTCTCAGCAGTATCATTCTAAAAACATTTTTGTAGTATTAAATATATGTATACTGGAGGCCTAGTGCATGAAATTCGTGCAGGGGGGGGGGCTGTCCCTCAGCCCAGCCTGCACTCTCTCCAATCTGGGACCCCTCAAGGGATGTCCGACTGCCCACCAGGATCGGGCCTAAAAGGGCAGTAGGACATCCCTCTCACAGTCCAGGATTGCTGTCTCCCAACCATTCGCCTGCCTGCCTGCCTGATTGCCCCTAACTGCTTCTGCCTTCCAGCCTGATCACCCCCTAACCATTCCCCTGCCATCTTGATTGACACCTAACTGCTCCCCTCCCGGCCCGATTATCCTAACAGCACTCCTCTGCCAGCCTGGTCACAACTGACTGCCCTCCCCTGCTGGCCTGGTCACCCCCAACTGCCCTTCCCTGCTGGCCCAGTCACCCCTAACTGCTTTCCTTTGCCAACCTGGTCACCCCTAACTGCCCTCTCCTGCTGCCCTGGTGGCCCCTAACTGCCCTCCCTTGCCAGCCTAGTCACCCCTAACTGCCCTTGCCTGCTAGCCTGGTCGCCCCCAATTGCCCTCCCCTGCAGGGCTGGTTGCCCCTAACTGCCCTCACCTGCTGGCCTGGTCACCCCTAACTGCCCTCCCCTGCAGGCCTGGACACCTCCAACTGCCCTTCCCTGCTGGCCCAGTTGCTCCTAACTGCCCTCCCCTGCTGGCCTGGTCTCCCCTAACTGCCCTCCCCTGCTGGCCTGGTTGCCCCTAACTGCCCTCCCTTGCAGGCCTGGTTGCCCCTAAGGCCCTCCCCTGCAGGCCTGGTCGCCCCTAACTGCCCTCCACTGTCAGCCTGGTTGCTCCGAACTGCCCTCCCCTGCCAGCCTGGTTGCCCCCAGCTGTCCTCCCCTGTAGGCCTGGTTGCCCCCAATTGCTCTCCCCTGCAGGCCTGATGTTGCCCCCAATTGCCCTCCCCTGCCAGCCTGGTCACCCCTAACTGCCCTCCCCTGCCAGCCCTATTGCCCCCAACTGCCCGCCCCTGCAGCCCTGGTCACTGCCAACTACCCTCCCTTTCAGGCCTGGTCCCTCCCAACTGCCCTTCCCTGCTGACCATCTTGTGGTGGCCATCTTTGACCACATGGGGGCAGCCATCTTTTGTGTTGGAGTGATGGTAAATTTGCATATTACTCTTTTATTAGATAGGATGACTCTAAGAACTATCAGGGATTTAATTAAGTATTCCCTGTGCTATCTGGGATTTGATATTGACCACCTTGCCTAACTTGTAATATCATGCTCAGGAAGCCTACAAAATGCAAAGTTGTCAGTTCTCTGGATCAGTGTTGTTCAGCATTTATAACTTGATACCCTCTTTTTGAGAAACAGCTTTCTAAGTCTTACCTACTACTCCTGAGATTTTTTAGGACCATTTATGAAGACTAGTTTTAAGAGTTTTGCTTTCTAAAATTTATAATAGAAAAACAATACCTGAATTTCCTATGCCCCAATCTTGGATATGAGTTTGTTTCTGAAGGAGAAAACTGAACATTCACATTTTGTCTTCATTAACTTAATTGTTCTTATTTATGCTATCTTATTTTATATTTATTTCATATAAAGTCAGGATAGTGGTTAAATGCTTTGTCAAAGGTGTCTGTTTAACACATTATTTGGTAATAAAATGAGCCTGAGATTTTTTAGGTTGCATTAAATAATATCCTTCAAATATTGTAAATCATTAATGGCAAATGTTTTACTGGTTCAAAAGTAGGTCTATATTAGCAAAATAATAGGAACACCTTAAATATAATGGTTGATATTATTGCAAAATAAGAGTCCTGAGATATGTGTATGGGTATACTTACAATTATTTTTGAAGGATGGTGATGGTTGGCCTATAGATGCTCGTGGATATTGACTGGTTGATAACCCTAAAAGCAAACATTTAAAAAAAATACAATAAGAACTCTATCAGTAAGGTGCTATTTAGGATAACAATTTACACTATTTACATATAAAGCATAACTGAAAAGTAATGAGGCTGATATCCATAAGTACCTGAACAAAGACAGTCTCATTTATGTCGGTGTCAGACTTTCAGTTAAAGTGGAAATGAAATACCAGTTAAGTATTATAAAAGAATCAGCAAAATTCTAAATCTGATATTAAGAGAAAACATTATTTTGCATAAAATAATTGCAGACCAGAAGTACTTAAATGGTATTTACCAATAGATATTAAAACAATATTAGAAGCTAGAAGGGGAAATAACATCTGAATCACCATTTCAGTACCAATTATTTTTAAAGTATCTATTGACATTATACATTTGGGGATGTGAAAACAAAACATATTAGCCAGCGACATTCATGCAGTAGGAAAAATAAATTAGGTGTAACCACATTTGCTGGAAGCCGATCCACCCTGGCTGCTTGAGGCAGTCCCTGCAGGGATGTTTCAGGGGACCTGGCGTATATGGCATGCTGTTCTTGGTATGTTTGCTCCCCTTCTTAAGCGCTGTGTGTTTTAACCAAGGTCGCCTCTCCAGGAAGGGTTTTTTCTTCAGGTGAGGATTTTTACCAGTAAACCCTTTAACTAAGTGCCGGAGCGGTGGTTGATCACTGTGACTGCGAGCAATCACGCTTAAGCTACATAATTTTTACTTAGAATAACCTCCTTCAGTTACTCCCTTGTAGCTTAATAGAACAATAGAGTAACCTTTGAACGGAGATGGGAAGCCCCCTAGCCTTTTGTATAGAATGGATAGGATTGGGACCAAATAGTATAAATACAGATGTAGATGACAATAAAGTGAAGAACTTGGCTATGATGATCACCTGAACACTGCCTCCGTGTCTTTCCTTCTCTGCCGACTCTGTCCACACCTTGGGGAACCCCTGGACCCGCTGGGGCTGGACCCCAGCACACATTAATATTTAACATCTGTTCATCATAAAATGTTTCCCACAGCACATAAAACATAACCAAAAAGTTTTACATACAAAGATTTTCTCAAAATATAAAGCTGTGGGAACCCACTCAGAGCCCCAGAGTTGGTATAAAGATTATTTTAAGTTGAAGACATTTTGAGATTCAACAGATGCCGTGTGTGGGGGGGGAGGGGGGAGACAGAAGGGAGGGGGCCCAGAGCTTCCCTTATCTGACTAAGACCAACAACTTCTAGAAAATGAGGTTACCATAAATCCCTTCTCCAGGGGAATTTTATAGCTCTGAAGGAGACAGAAAGACAGGTCATAGCTGTACAGACAAACCTTACCTCCTGTTTGTTCTTTTAAAAACCTATTTGTCTTTCCTATGGAAAACTTTCCTCACTCCCCATCCCCTCACCACTAAAGTAGATATGTATATAAGCTTTTAATTTGAACAACTAAACAAGCCAGCTCCTTTGTTTTTTGACTTCCATATACATATGAAACAAACATTTATCACCTGTTAATCTCTTTTGTCAGTTTAATTTGCCTAGCTCAGTTACAGAACCCAAGAGGGTAGAGAAAAAATTTTTCCTCCCCTAAAAAGCGAATTCTTCCATTTATCCAAGTAAGTAAAAGGAAGTGATTAGCAGCCATTATAGTTATGAAAAATACATAGGAATTATTATCAAATTTTTGAAGACATTGAAATATTTTATTAGCTCACAAAGTTATGTTACCGTAATTTGAAGTACAATAGAAAAAAACTTAAGTAATAAATTCTAAAGCTATATTTAAATATTTTAATGCAACTACTCCTTTAATCATCCAACAATAGATTATCCATACAATGAATTATAACAACAAATCTTTGTATTTTTCATTCCTTATGACAGTAAATAAAAATAAGTTCTGACTTCAAATTAGTGACAACACACTTGGGTAAAAGTCTTGCAACTTTAATCTAAATTTCAGAAAATACATTTAATATTATAAATTTGAACTAGCATTTTCATGTCTCTCTTACAGCTCCAAATAATACAAATATTTATTGAAATAAATATGTGAGAACATATTATCACATCAATCCTCTATTTTAATGAAATGGTAGGAGACCTATAAGAAATAAAATTAATTTCTTCATGAAAAATACATAAAACTGGTTCTACCTAGCATGTTTAAAGAAGCAGAGGTATAAAATAGCAATCATTGAGCAATGATGAAACTCTATGTTCATTGAAGAAGTTGGTGGCCAAGTTATTAGTCTGTACATTAAAAATTATAGGTAGAATTACAGTCAAGATGAAATCATTTCAATACACAATAGTGACCCATTCTACTTGCTGTAGCTCCGACTTAATTTTACCTAATTGTACAAGTACCCTTCCAGGGAATAAAACGTTTGTGGCCAGAGAACAGCTGCCGGTGGAATTACCTCCCCCTAGTGGTTATCTGTGACATTGCAGTCAGAACAAATGTGAGCTAGGATTGATACACCATTTATTCATGAAGGATTTATTTATTGCACACACACCCACCCCTTGGGGGAGGATTGAGATATCTTCTAATGAAGCATTTCTGCTCTTTCATTAAAAAGCAAGCAATCTTATAATTTAAAATTTTTCTTTAAGACATTAACTGAAAATATATTTTCTAATGTTTCTAAAATTTTACTGTACATTTCTAAAATTGTACATTTCTAATTAATTTTGCAAAAGTCTAGGTGAAATGATATATTTTCTTAATTTATTTCTCTTTCTTTAGCCCCACTTGCTTTGCCCTTCCCCCAAGACCATTAACATTTTAATATTAATATTTTGCCTCTATCATATGCTCTCCTTTTCCAGTCTTTTTTTCTCAGCTATTTATACATAAATCTGAGATATATTTTATTATCAACTTTCTGTCATTTCAAGTTGTTATCCATCTCACCAAACTGTTATTTTTAAGTTCCCAGGTGATTTCGATAGATTTTTTTTTTCCTTTGCAGGTCAGTGACTCTAGAAGGAAAGAGAAATACTCCTGACCACAACCTGGCTCTATACATTAATTCAAACGTTATATAATATCTTCCTATAAAAATAGTGCATAAAATATTTTTCAATTGTGCAATCCTATTACCTCTGATTGTACTTATAACTGATTTATAAAGTGACATTAAGGGTAATTTTGTGATTGTTCAAGGCAAATTTTATTCTACTTTTTCTACACAAGTTATTTATTTTGCTATTAGCCTTCCCTAAGGAAGGATATTATAAAATAGTACTTTCAATTCAAAATTGTGCTTTAAAAGTCATTAAGAACCCTATGAAGATGTAATTGATAAGTTTCCTGCTTCATTTTTCCTCAGTTGAAACACTAGGAAAAGAACAGGCATTTAAAGTGGAATATCTACCACAGAAATGCCTATCTTACTTGTGGCTAAAAGTCATCAGTAAAATGGCAATACTAAATCCTGAGTAGAAGGAATAAATGCTAGCATTACAAAAGAACTCAATGTGCTTCTTTGGCATGACATGGATATTCAATATTTAAAAAGAAGAGAGCAATCTTTCATTCAGGATTAAACTGTCACCACATTCCACCCAGCCAGTGTTGCTCAGTGGTTGAGCATTGACCTATGAACCAGGAGGTCATGATTTGATTCCTGGTCAGGGCACATGCCCGAATTGTGGGCTCAATCCCCAGTAGGGGGTGTCCAGGAGGCAGCCAATCAATGATTCTCTTTCATCATTGATGTTTCTATCTCTCCCTCCCTCTCCCTTCCTCTCTGAAATCAATAAAAATAAATATTTTTAAAAATCACCACATTCAAACCTAATGGTACCTTTTACTGCCTACTTTGATTTTTAAAAACTGTATATTAATGAAGTATAACTTTATTATAATAAAATGTACATAGTTTAAATATAGAGTTTGATCAGTTTTGATAAAGGTATACACACCTGTGTAAATGCCATGCCAGGAGGATAGAATGTTTTCATCCTCCTACTCCCCTCCCAACTCCAGGCAACCACCTTCTATTGCTGTAGATTATTTTTGCCAGATCTAGAAGTTCATGTAAATAGAACCACACTGTGTTCTTTTTTTCTATTTCTTCTACCCTTTGGTTAAAACATTGTTCTCTCTTTCACTGAGTCTTTTTTTTTATTTTTAAAAAATCTTTATTCTTGAAAGTAATATATATGTCCCTTTATTTACCCCGTTGACCTCTTCTAGCCTGCCCCTAAACCCCCCCACCATCGCCCCAGGCCTTCACCACACTATTGTCTGTGTCCACAGGTTATGCATACATGCATACAAGTTCTTTGGTTGACCTCTCCCACCCACCCACCCTCCCTCCCCCACCTTCCCTCTGAGATTTGACAGTGTGTTCCATGCTTCTATGTCTCTGGATCTATTTTGTTCACCATTTTATTTTGTTCATTAGATTCTACATATGAGTGAGATCATGTGATACTTGTCTTTCTCTGACTGGCTTATTTCACTTAGGATAATACTCTCCAGGTTCATCCATACTGTTGCAAATGGTAAGAGTTCCTTCTTTTTTATAGCTGCGTAGTATTCCATTGTGTAAATATACCATAGTTTTTGCACACATATCTCCTTGCCTTATTCTGTTGATTTATTAACTTAAATTTCTTAACTTTCTGTTCAAGTTACCATGGATTATTTAACACCTCAATATTTGTCTACCATGATACTGCCTTTAAAGTTACTGGATCATGTCGAAGAGAGCAATGCAGTGTACTATTGAAGCAATTGCAAAAGGCAAAACCACTGGAAAAGCTTTCAAATACAAAATGGCACATGTTTAACACATTCTCATATTTAGCACAGTGCAAATAAATAAAAAAGTTATTTTCTAGTGTGTATAGAGCAGGGGTGGGCAACCTTTTTGTGTGTGCCAAAACCAGCAAAAACTCTGACTCAAAATTTTTCTGCGTACCAGCCCTAATTTTTTGAGAACATGTTACACCTACTTGATATCTCTTTAAGGT